ATGTCATGCGAATCTAAAATTATTTTGGTTTGTTGGTGGACGAACTTTCTGAGCTTGTGCATTAGTACTTAGACATCTTTAGTTCCAAAGTATCCGTGGAAAGAAGGCCCAAATTTGGATCAAAGTGCGAAAGCTACATGAATTACGGAATCGCTTCAAATTCTCATCAAACAAGTGATGGTTTCAGGAATTTTGAAAGAACCTTTCTGTGAAAATTAAATTTATGGCTGCATGGCGTTAAGGTTCCTCTAGGACCGCGCCCGTTTGCAGGGTACTTAGATAAATGTGTTAGTTAGAACCTTCATCTATCCAACTCATCAAAGATTCAACCCATCGCTAACATAGGTTTTGTGAACTTGTCACGAGATCGAAAATGTTTTTTTTCGTTTACTAAGATCCAAAATTCTTACTACAATAATAATTTGATTGCGATTCTTTCAAGAATTTCAGAAACTCTTGCCACATGGTCGGGAATTCTTTCCTCAAGAACGAGAATTCTTTATATCAGGCAATGAAGTATTATAGTTATCCTGGAAAGAATGTTTAATTGAAAATATTATGCAGGGAATTCATAAGAGAAGAAGCAGAAACCTTGTCGAGGATTCTTATAACTGGACTTTTATTAGGTAACCTTTCACCGCCAGTAGCTTTGATCTATACGCCTAAAGAGCTGATGCAGTTTGTTCAGCCTTGCTACCTTACACCAGTGGAGTATAGACATACATGAATGATTCACTAGGAAGACGAAACGGCGATAATTTTCATCCACATTTCCGTTGAAAATTTGCATCACGATTAGAAACTTTTAAGTTAACTTAAAAGTGTTTAAATATGCAGTTAACAGCCAGCTGAATACATTTTCCTTGTTAAGGAATAAACAGTTCTGCTGAGCAACGTTATAGGTAGCTTTGAACATAAATGCAGCTCATGGAAAATTCATTCGGCCTTCAAAGTATCAGTGATAGACTTTCATCGCATATTGGCAATTTCGATTACTTGGACAATAAAAACCTGTTTGTCGTACCTTTGTTTTGCGCTGCGAAGTTAGGCGTGCAAATTCTTTAAATTTAATGCAAATTTGTGGATGCGAGATAAGAATGTAATTAAAAACCTCCGAAGAATATTCCCAGGCGTTTGCCTTTCTTATTCCGCTCGGTGTTTTACTTCAGTATTAACCTGAGATAAATCGTTGGGTATCATGGTCAACTAAACCTACGCTGGGCTTCTTGTTGGCTGACAAGGGATGCTTAAGAAATTTTGTTTTGCTGTGACGTGTTTTGATTCATTGGAAAAATGGCGTAGTCTTCCTTAATTTGAAACAAATTAAGAGCAAGTAAAAGTCTCAAGTTCGTTTTAAGTTTAATCTTTAAGAGAAACTAGGAATATCCATAAATTTCAATCGAAGAACGGAGTCTACATTTTACCCCGGTTCTGCAGTCTTCGTCTGAATTTTACGCTCGGTCTGCGGTTTGCAGTCTGTGTCTTACGCTGACCGGATTTGGTACAATTCATTTAGAACTTCAAAGTTAATTTATTGGGAGTCCAAGAGATTGATCTGCCAAAGCAGAGACCTGCTCTTTAAATGGCTGAACTCTAAATCTGACTTTTTAATGCTATGGGTGCAAATGTTTACACTTAACGACATTCATACTGCACACAGAAATTCTCTTCGATTAGCCTGAATCGCTCGAGAAGATGTCATGTCCATGACATCTGAATTTGAAAAAGTATACATATACATATATATAAATATATATTAAAAGCTCACCCAAGGCCTTAGATAGCTATAAGGGAAAGGACATTCATTGGAATCTCAATTTAACAAATTGCACTGGGATTGGGAAATCTCTGCTATATTGAATGACTTTTATATTGGAGTTAGTACATCTCTTTCATAGATTTTACTAAAAAAGGGCTGAATACAGTATTTTGTTTTTAGCTAGGAGGGCTTCTTTATGTAATAAGGTTTGTTTAATCACTGTTTGTATTATGAATCTAGAATGTTCCCAAAATGTGACTAAAGTAATCTTGAAACCTTACTGATAAATTTATTTCTTTGTAAAGCACAAGCTTAAGAAACTGCAGCATGCAAGTGACCGATTCGATTCTCAGATTTATTCCAGTTTCAGTTGCGCCGAGCGTTATGAGCTTAATTCAAGCCGGATAAGGTTCCCGCACAGCCCCATTGGGAAAGCAAATTTGTTTTTCAATAGTATGGCAATGTCTTGTTTCTGTCAATGTTTTCTCTATCCAGGAACTGAATGCATAATGTAGTATGGGGCTGTGTGGAAATTTTACCTTCAAGCCGTTATATCTATTCTTTGAAAAATTGTGATTACGTAACGAATATCGCAATTTTTACTCACCACAAACGTTCAAAATCGTAGCTTTATAAATGGCCACTCGACCCTTGTTTGTACCAGTCAAGATGTCAACTGTCGTCCCTTCTTTTAATTTGTTTTTCTAAGGCATGAAATTTCTATTAAAAATTATGTGAACTGAAAGTCTCTGACAGTGTTTGAGGCAACCGAGCTTGACTGTTCCAAGGTTTTCTAACAAAGGCAACTAGTAATGTAGATTAGGGAAGTGACTTATTTTCATAACTAACAAAGTTCTTTAGGTAGAGGTAACAATGTAATTATTGTTACACATGTGTAAGTTGTGTACCAAGGAACAGCTGATGAATGTTGGATGATTTTGGCACATCTGTGAACATGAGATGTTTTGCATCACAATAAAAAAACTTTTATGATCGTGGAATCCAAGAGATACACAGTGGTTGATATGAGATGGTATGTTTTTCTTTTTGTTTTGTAAACAGATGTTTATCATCTTCCTCTCAGTTGTGTTACTAATCACAACAGCGATTCCTTCACTGCCAACGCTTGAACAAATACAAGTACAAGGTAAGAGTGCTAGGACTCATAGAGCCATGCACAAATGATTACTGGAATTTTATTGATAAACCCAAATGTCTATAATATTTTTTTATTATGGCGATGTTGTTCAAAGTTTTTGGTAAGCTTTGAAAATTGAATGTTATTGTGCAGGCTGAATAAAGAATTTAGGAGTTTCACGTACACTTTAGGATTAACCCTTTAACATTTTATTTCAGATTGCTAATTCTCCCCTCTAGCTGGTGCACATTTTAATTAGTTCTAAGAATTTGGTTTTAGATCAAGATAAAAACTTCTAACTGATAAGTTTGAGTATTGTTATTACCTGCTTGCTGGATAATGTGTGGATATTGTGAGGACAAGTGACATGTTAATGTGCTTTAATGGCCTTTGGCTGCTGCTATTTGTAACTAACATGGTCAGGGACACAAAGTTAGTCATTCTTTTAGTCGACAAAATGCCCACCAGAGTAGCTCCTAACTGTTTAACCCTTAGCTCTCAGAAGTGATTTACAAGTAAGTTCTCCCTGTACCATCCATACAGTATCCAGCAAACAGGTAAAAAGAATACTCAAGGCCTTAAAATTTCAGGAGTTAAAAGGTTGAACTTATCTCCCAGATTGGGTAAAGAGAGGTTTGAGACTTGGTTGCTTCACAGTAGATTGGCAAGAATGCGAAGCAAGAATTAAAATGATGGCATCTGTGAACAAATGTTTGGCACATTTGAGGCCATTTATCCAAACGTCGGGTAACTCTTTGGAGTCTCAAAATGCGGCCAGTACCATCACTACATGTATACTTTTTATTGGCGGAGATACAATTACCCAATCAGTCTGGACCATACTTCTTCTCTCACCTTAAATGGACTAGTGTCCCTTCCAGAGAAACCAGCAGCACTCTTAGTCACTTAAACTGAGAAACAAGTCTTTATCTATTGCCTGGGGAGGGAGAAATAGAGGCGGGTCAGTCGTTGCCATCAGAAGTTAAAGTGGGGTAGTATAGTAAATTGACTGCTGCCAAGAAAGGCAGGGGATCAGATAAAATTTATCCTGACATAACCAAACTCCTCCCCCTCTTCCCTTCCTCCCTTCCTCCCCTCCTTTCCCCCCTTTCCCCCTTCCTCCTACCCCCTTCCCCCCCCGGCGCTAAATGACGACGGGTCGTTTATGTAAGTTACTAGTTGAACTAAATTCCAAGCTCGTAAGATACAACTCAATACCAAGATAAATACATATATTTATTAGAAGTTTGGTGTGTAGCATCGCTGGGTATTTTTACGAGTTGTGTCGTATCACCCGCAGGGCGAGTCACAATTATCTATTGTCCAACTGCCTTATTTCATGCGCATTTCATAAAAAGTGGGAAAATATCTGTACTTGATTCGCGCGTTATTTGCATTCTACGTAGTGCAGTTGGATAATACAGTAATTAGTGATACTTACACCTACCAAAACTTCTAACAAGACAATTTTTTTTTTTTTTTTTTCAGAACAATCAAGGACAGAAGCAGCCACCAATTGTTCCTCGGAACACTACGTTCTTTTTTCTCAAAACACACAAAGCAGGTTCAAGCACAATTTCGAACATTTTCTTTCGTTATGGCGATTCTCGAGATCTTTCCTTTGTTCTTGGCTCGGACACTGTGATTGGATGGCCGACGCGATTCCGCATTGAACAAGCTCTCGCTTTCGATGGAACGCGACCAAATTTTCTTTGCAGTCACACAAGATTCAATAAGAAAGCCATGAACTATTTGTTTCCAAAAGACGCCAGCAAATATGTGACAATCGTCAGAAACCCGGTCGAACAGTTTGAGTCGACTTTTAACTACATGCAAATCGGAACTGTGTTCGGTTTTGGGACAGATCCATCTGAATCATTGAAAGCCTTTCTAAAGAATGGAATAGGATTTAATATGCTCAGAAAAAGCGGAAGTTCTGTTTTAGCTAGAAATCCGCAAATGTTTGATCTAGGTTTGGATTTCAAGTTTTATCAGGATGCCAAAGCCATTAAAGAGTACGTTGAATTCTTGGAAGAAGAGTTTGATTTGGTTTTTAGTCGCAGACTATTTTGACGAATCTGTGGTTCTTATGAAGAGATTACTATGCTGGGAATTGGACGATGTACTTTTGTAAAAACAAACGAACGGCTTGACAAGGACAAAGCTACTGAAATATCAGATGGTACGAAAGAGAACATCAAACGGTGGAACAAAGCCGACGTGTTGCTGTACGAACACTTTAACCAAACTCTTTGGCAAAGAATCGAAAGGGAAGGAAAAGACTTTTACGACGATCTTACGAACTTTCGTCGAATGAAACAGGAACTTAAAAGTAAATGTTTTGAAGACAAGCCAAGTAAGCAGTTAATGTATGGCAACAAGTATGCGAAAGGTTTCACTTTAAGGTCGGATTTGTCTTCTGATCTAAAACAAAAATGTGAAAGTATGACAAGAACTGAAAATAACTATCTGGCATATTTAAGGAAGAAGCGAGTAGCAAAAATTAGTCGGTATTCATCGCGCAACACCAAATGAGGATGATGAAGAAAAAGTTAGTTGGGACGCGGCCAGCGATTATAAATATGTTCCTGTCTAAAGTAGCCAATTACATGAGACTTTCAACGCAAGTTATATATTTCGCATATTTCGCAGTGAAATTAAATTGTCTCTATGGATATTTAGAAAACCCGAGAACGCATAAGGAGTGTTTGTGTGGGTCGGATGTCTAAATATTCACATTTACTAATAGTACATGTCCTACATCATTCATCCTAACAGAATATGTTATTGAGCGGTATTTTTGGAACGGATTGAGTCATACAACTACAATGAAAACAAACATAAGATTCACCTTTCTGATCGTGAAATTAATATCATTCCTTCTGTTATCGTAGCTACGTTCCTTGGCATCAAGTGAATCCAACATGACGTCTTTCTTCATAAGCAGTTTGCATCCATTAGAGTTTTGTTCTTCAGTCTCACGGTAGTAGTGTTGTTCAATAGCTTGCATAGAATATATGCAGTTTGGTTTCAGATTTACGATTTTGCTTTTTTCAACAAGTGTACGTTTTTCAACTAGGACATTGGCATACTTGGCATACACGGCTTTCATGGCTTTCAAGCGTTTGCGACTCAATCCGTTCCAAAAATACCGCTCAATAACATCTTTTAGTGTGGATTGGCCGCAAGCAATACGACTTGTGTGTACGTCTGTAAGTATTTTGAGCGTTTGCACCATAAAGCTCCAGGTAATCGTAAACAAAAATGTTGCACTTCCATCACCAAAGCAACAATTCCAGAACTTCTAGAATTGTTGTTTTGGCGAAAGCAAACTGCTTGTGAAGAAAGACGCCATGTAGGATTCACTTGATGCCAAGGAACGTAGCTACGATAACAGTAGAAATGATATTAATTTCACGATCAGAAAGGTGAATCTTGTATTTTGTTTTCATTGTAGTTATATGGATATTCTTTTTAATAAATACATGATCCAAAATCCTGTGTTTTTTTTGTATATTGTTATTATGTTATCTATTGTTTACGCAATTGTCTTGTGGGCTAATTTCTATGTAAAGTTGTTGATGTCTTCAGCAAAAGCTGCTGTGAATAGCTTCGATGAATGTAACGTATTTAAGAAAGCTGCTCATTTATCTGTTATTGTATATGATAATTAGCTTAATAATAGCAATGATGAAGCATTTTCAATAAATACAGTCTTTAGCTGTAGGTCTCCATACGACAAATTTGTCTATTTTAATAGCCCTCGTACGCATGGTATTCGTGTTCGTGATCGTGAGCCCAGCAGAATACCAAAGAAAAGAATTACACGTATTTTGAAGAAATCCAGGAAAGTAAGACGTTTACTTCGAAACTACATCAGAAAAAGCATACCGAAGGCTTCTCGAATGCATCTTTTTACAAATAAAGCTCGTGAAAAAATATATGCACATGGAATCAGATGTGAGAATAAAGGAACAACGAGATATCCCTCTTCTGCAGTCAGGAGAAAATATCCAAAGTCTAACAAATACAGGATACTGAAAATGCAAAACCAATATTCCCATGTGATAAAAAGTCCAAAGCCAAAGCAGTCGAATGCATGGAGGTCTAATTCAGTACCAAATGTTTATAAAAATCTGAATCACAGGGTAAATCATTTTAAGCCCAATCTGTCTTGGTCCTGTTATTAATTCTACTAAAAAATAATGCAAGCTCCTTACAGTCAAGACAATGTGGCAATGTTTGGGTTAAATGCTGGTACATAGTTTGTAGCCATGTCACTTGCTTCCCTCATATATAACAAGAGGAATGGTTAGTGGACTTGGTTAATATCATGAACATTGGTAATGAATTATATTCTGGTCTATCTAGTCTATCCAGGCAATCCTATTTACTGTTTACAGAAGTACCTGAAATGATAATAGTGTTTAATATTAAATATCAGCTTCAATATAGTTCACGCAAGCTATACTGTTATTATACATGGTACTTCTGAAGTACAAGATTTCAATTATTGCATGTCATTTACTAATGCTATGAAGGCTTTGCTAGGATAAAATTATAATTCCTTTCTTTTAACAATCCTTAGTACTACAATAAGTTTTTTTACTATAATGGTGATGGTAAGTTTAAGATATTTGATTCTCATGGTAGAGATTCATATGGATGTCCCATCCTCAAGGAACTTGTGTACTGTTAGAAGTTAACACCTTAAATGAGCTGATAAACTATTTTCAAGGTCTTTATCAAGATCCAATGTACATATTAATGAAAAACAATGTGATATGACATATATTTCTGATCAACAGTTGTCAGCTGTCCCTCTTAAAGCAAATCATGCCGATGCAGAAATTGTAACCATTCGTGTTCCTTGTTAAGCTGTTGTGCCACATCTTTTTATAGCATTTGTTTTTCCATTATCAAATATTGTGGGTATTGGAATTCACAGACTCTAGGTAGAATCACTGACCATGCAAACAAGTTTTACAAAGAAAAACTCAATGGCGATACCCATCCACTGACTATCAACAATTTCCCAAGGACACTTCAGATATATGATGCAGATATTGATAATGCCTTTAATTTGGAGAAATAAGGAATACTACGCTGTACATCTCTTGGTAGCAAACTTTTGCTTCAGAAGTTAATCACAGATAATACTGAGGATAATACTGGGTTTTTAATGTGGATTTCAAATTATTGCTTCAGCTGTTTTTCAGCACAATAATATAAAAAAAGAAAAAGTGTTGAGTACTATATTATAAGGTTTAGTCCTTATGGCACACTTGATATATTTGAAAAAATGAATGACGAAGATTTTCTTATTCAGTCATTGGTGGATATTAATATAAAAACAATTCCAGAGTAAAGATATAGAATATTGCATCAAATTTATATGTTGTTCAACCAATTTGTAAAATGCTGGAAGACAAAGGGTGATGTCAAGACTTAAGTCTCATAGGAAAGAACTACATGCAAAAAAGGAAAAAAGAAAGCTATGCACAAATGGAACCTGCCATGAAAAAAAAAGTTTTGTCTGATAAAGCAATATATTGGTAGAAGTCACTGGATCTTGCAGAAGAAGAAACGCTTTTTTATCTAACAGAGCTGAATGGTATAAATCACTGGGTCCCGAAGGAAAAGAAAAGCTTTTGTCCAATCAGCAGAATGGTATAAATCACTTGGTTCTGCAGAAAAACAAACTCTTTTTGTCTAGCAGAGCAATTTGGTATAAATCACTGGATACTGCACAAAAACAAAAAGAGAGCAGAATGGTTTAACTCGCTCAATTCTGCACAAAAAAAAAAAAGAGCAGATTGGTATAACTCATTGAATCCTGAGAAAAAGAAAAACTTTTTGTCTGGCAGAGCAAAATGGTATAAAACACTGGATCCTGCAGACAAAGATAAGATTATATCACAAGTCCAAGCTAATAACGAAGCCCCTAGAAACTCAGTTCAACGTGATTTGGTATACCAGTCCGACACCCGTAGTGTCACTACACTTGATCCCAAGGATCCATTACCATCCAGGTATCCCAGTTACCTTGCTCACGGGGTCTAGTCTAATGCATGAAAAAGGGGAACTGAACATGTCATGGAAGCCCATTTGAGCCCATTTATAGTACTTAACACAGTTTCATAGTGACAGTATGAATATCAATGACATGTTGAAAATACAAAAGCAACTTTTAAGATTAACGTTACTCACATTTTGACTGAGGATTAGGTCTGCTGGGATAGGGTTAGAGTGAAATGCCTATATGATATAACATAAGCAACATTTTTTTTTTATGTTCTCAGGTTTGTGTCTCTGCAGTGTTTCTTTCGTTATGTGTGATTAAATATTGCATTTGTTACGCATGATTGTACGTGACTGTTAGGATGAATGATGTAGGACATGTACTATTAGTAAATGTGAATATTTAGACATCCGACCCACACAAACACTCCTTATGCGTTCTCGGGTTTTCTAAATATCCATAGAGACAATTTAATTTCACTGCGAAATATGCGAAATATATAACTTGCGTTGAAAGTCTCATGTAATTGGCTACTTTAGACAGGAACATATTTATAATCGCTGGCCGCGTCCCAACTAACTTTTTCTTCATCATCCTCATTTGGTGTTGCGCGATGAATACCGACTAATTTTGCTACTCGCTCCTTCCTTAAATATGCCAGATAGTTATTTTCAGTTCTTGTCATACTTTCACATTTTTGTTTTAGATCAGAAGACAAATCCGACCTTAAAGTGAAACCTTTCGCATACTTGTTGCCATACATTAACTGCTTACTTGGCTTGTCTTCAAAACATTTACTTTTAAGTTCCTGTTTCATTCGACGAAAGTTCGTAAGATCGTCGTAAAAGTCTTTTCCTTCCCTTTCGATTCTTTGCCAAAGAGTTTGGTTAAAGTGTTCGTAAACACGTCGGCTTTGTTCCACCGTTTGATGTTCTCTTTCGTACCATCTGATATTTCAGTAGCTTTGTCCTTGTCAAGCCGTTCGTTTGTTTTTACAAAAAGTACATCGTCCAATTCCCAGCATAGTAATCTCTTCATAAGAACCACAGATTCGTCAAAATAGTCTGCGACTAAAACCAAATCAAACTCTTCTTCCAAGAATTCAACGTACTCTTTAATGGCTTTGGCATCCTGATAAAACTTGAAATCCAAACCTAGATCAAACATTTGCGGATTTCTAGCTAAAACAGAACTTCCGCTTTTTTCTGAGCATATTAAATCCTATTCCATTCTTTAGAAAGGCTTTCAATGATTCAGATGGATCTGTCCCAAAACCGAACACAGTTCCGATTTGCATGTAGTTAAAGTCGACTCAAACTGTTCGACCGGGTTTCTGACGATTGTCACATATTTGCTGGCGTCTTTTGGAAACAAATAGTTGATGGCTTTCTTATTGAATCTTGTGTGACTGCAAAGAAAATTTGGTCGCGTTCCATCGAAAGCGAGAGCTTGTCCAATGCGGAATCGCGTCGGCCATCCAATCACAGTGTCCGAGCCAAGAACAAAGGAAAGA